ATGCATTTGCATGGAAGTGGGAGCGCGCTCTGAACGGAGCGTGTCCAGTAATGTGTTGCGGATGATGTGATTATACGGTGTAATTCCGACGAGGTGTAGGCGGATCGTTTGACGTACAATTCCCGCTGCTTCTGGTTCGATGAAACATAACGGCGTTGGCTAGTCGTGCCCGTACATAGAGCACGCTACGATACCAGTTGTAATAGATGTTGCCAGTTCTGATGCGTCAAGTTTCTGGAAGTGAGCACAAGCTGACCAGAGGCGCTCGCCTTCGCACACACATCGCCCAAGCAACGTATTCAAATGTGCATCTTGAAGCGACTTCGCGCATAGCGCCGTGTGTGATGTACAACGTGATGCATAATGGTTCGCCACGCATGATGATTTGATGCCTGTAGCACGAACGCGTATTTTGTTCGATCGGCCTTGGGCCCATCCCGCCATCGTTCCTGGGTCGTGGACGGACGGCCTCCTGGAGGCCTCTTGAGGTCTCGGGAGAAAGGCGTTGTAAGGGGGCCTCGTGGGGGACTCCTGAGGTATCCTGGCTGTTTCTTGTGGGCCAGTGGGGCCTCTTGGGTCTTCGAGTTGATGTTGGATCTTCGAAGCTACGGCCTCCACGCCATGCCCTCACGGGCATTGGCGGGCTCCCCAGCGGAGCGCGCACGACTCGGGCGTTCATTCTTCCGTCTTGTGGGGCCTCTTGGGGGCTTGCTGGTTGTCTCGTGGGCTATCTTATGGGGGAAGGCTCTTCGGCCCCCTTCGAGTTTCAAGCCAAGGAGGAGCCTGGCAGATAGGTATGTTCTCGCCATTGGTGCCCCGACTCTCTCGGTTCGTAAGCTCGGCAGTGCCAGGTTGCAGTTCAATTCGTGGCCGCTCTGCTTCCTTGCGTTGCTCCTGTCTGTGCACTTCTGTCTGAAGTGTAAACGTGACTGTCCTCGTGCTCTTGCCAGGCACATCCCACGCAACGTCATCATAGTCCCTCTCCCTGTCCACCGCCCTGGTCCTTGCTCCTCCTCCATCCCTTCCTCCTCTCGAGAGAGCCACTCACGATCCTTCGCGGCCACAAGTCTCCAGGATCCCCAAATAAGGGCACAACATGGGCCCAAGTCCAGGGTCTCGATGCTCGGAGGCGGAGGCCTCGGAAGTCTCCAAAACAGCCACGGCCGCCCACAAGCATTTGACCCCCGCCATCACGAACCTCAGTCCCCATCGTCCCCATCCCTCCTCCTCGTCCCTCCTCCTCAATCCTCCTCCTCGTCCTCCTCGTCCTCCTGTCTCCCCCGCCTACTCCCCCCTCCCCCTCCTCCTCCCTCCCCCCCATTCGCCTCCTCATCCTCCTCCTGCTCCCCCTCCTCTCCCTCCTCCCCCTCCTCCATCCCTCTTGCTTGTGAACAAGTTTTCCCTGTCGCACCCCGAGGCCGGCCGAAAGGGCGGGCCGGGCGTTTGGCTTGATTTTTGCACCTTTTATGATGTTAAACTTAAAACTTTGCAGCAGTTTCACGGATGGAGGGCGGGCCGTTTTCAAATGGTGATTCTCGTTGTAGCGCCGCGCACACTAGCTTTAAAGGTTTGTATCTGTTGTTTTACAGATGTAGGGCGGGTCGTTTTCAGAATGTGGTTCTCGCCTTAGCGCCGCGCGCATTCGTATTAACCATGCAAGAGTTTCACGGATGGAGGGCCGTTCGTTTTCAAACAGTTTTTTCTCGCTTTGGCGTTGCGCACAGTCGCCCTATCAGTTTGCAACAGGTTCAAGGATTTTCATGTCTAATGTCCCAGACTTTTCGTGTTGGTACGATGTCGGAATGTCAAGGCGCAACAGTCAAGTTGATGCGCGGTGTTGAAGTCCCAGGAGGGTTGTTCTGGCACGACTCAGGGTCGTCAAGACCTCAGCAGTAACAGTGATTCGGAGCGTTGCTATCTCAGGAATTGTGTTTTGGCACGGCTCCGGATTTGCAAATGATTGTCTTCCAACGGGGCCTATCCCTCAATGAAAATGAGTTTGTGTAGGGGCCCATGAAGAGGGATTTGGGAGGGAGGGTTTATTGCAACACAGTTGATGAGTCCAGAGTTTACGTTGGTTTTCCTCCTCCTCCTCCTCCTCCTCCCCCTTCTCCTCCTCCTCTTCCTCCTCCTCCTCCTCCTGCTCTTACTCCTCCTCCTCCTCCTCCTCCTCCTCCTCCTCCTCCTCCTCCCTCTTTCTGTCTCCTGACCCGCCTACCTCTCGGCTTCTGCCCGCTCGCTCTCTTTCTGTCTCCTCCTCCTCCTCCTCCTCCTCCTCCTCCGCCTCCTCCTCTCGCCCTCCTCCTGTCTCCTCCTGTCTCTCCCCCCCTCCTCCTCCTCCTCCTCCTCCTCCTCCTCCTCCTCCTCCTCCTCCTCCTCCTCCTCCTCCTCTCGCCCTCTTCCTGTCTCCGCCTCCCCCTCCCTCGCCGCACATCCCCCCCCCCCGGGGCGAGACCCCGTCGGCACCCTGCCGGCCCGGCGCTCGGCCCGCCGGCCCCAGTCGCTCTCCACGCTGAAGCAGGAAGAGGCGGCGCCGGGCGGCCGGACGACGACGGGTGCGGGGGGAGCAGGAGGAGGAGGAGGAGGAGGAGGAGGAGGAGGAGGAGGAGGGGAGGAGGGGGGGGGGGAGGAGGAGGAGGAGGAGGAGGAGGAGGGGGAGGAGGAGGGAGGAGGGAGGATTAGGAGGAAGAGCAGGAGGAGGAGGAGGGAGGATTAGGAGGAGGTAAGGTAAGGTAAGGTAAGGCTCCGCTGAGACCGAGGCTCCGACGGTCTTGGGAGAAACTTGGGGTATCCCCCTCACTGCGAGAACTCGGCACTCCTCGGCAGGAGGGCGCCAGCGACGGCGCCTCTCGGCGGACGTCGGCGCACGGCCGTGCACTCTCCCTGACTGCTGCTGCTCAAACGCTCTGCTTTGGGGAAAACAACGCTTGACCCTCGAGCTCGAGTTGCCAGCAGTCCTGGGACCAGAAAAAACAGTAGCATCAACAGTACGAAAGAGCAAGACGAGGAGCTGGGACAGAAGGCTGCATGGCACACAATTATCTAAATACTTGCGAAACCTGCTTGGGATCATGGTAGTACGTCGGAGAGCAATCAAATAATGTATTGATAGCATCAAGATGATGCTCTTCCAGCATCTCTCTGAACATGTGTCCGTTTGTGTTCTCTATGTCCGCATTGCATAAGCCGATAGAGCTGCTGTTGACTGACCCGACTCGTGCATTCGCGTCCAGTGAAATGATGGGCACTGTACGAGCAGGTAGCGCACTCAGCAGTTCACTCATATGCTGCCAAAACTTATCACATACTTTGTGCGCTGCAGCCCGACCACGGCCCCCTGGAGGTTCCACAGGAGCGTACCCGACAATCGCAGTGACATCAGACATCTCCGTCTTAAAACGCACGGCACCGAGGCGCCCTGCCATATCTCCAGGAAAACTCCAGATACGTCGTACATGTCTAGCAGAAAAGAACTTGTCCGAAACCAGCAGCGCGCATCCCGTCGGACGACCTGCGACTCCAGCGCTGCGACCCCACTGGAAGCGTAAGAAGCGACCAAGGCGATCCTGTGCGCATGGAACGTCCGTCGGGATTTGAGTGCCTGAGATGCCAACAATCCCACAGCTCCGAAACTGCCTGGATACATCTTGCCATCGCCCCGCCTGCCTCAACGAAAGAGGGTTCCATGAGCAGCAGCGGATCCTCATGGCCGCCCGAGTCTAACACCTTGGGGGCGGTGTCATGGCAAGTCAAGGACGTGCCTGGGGGCGCACTTTGCCCCGCAAAATATCATGCCTGAGCCGTGGGGGCTGGATTAGGAGGAGGAGGAGGAGGAGGAGGAGGAGTCGGAGATTAGAGAATTGGCCGTTTTCGATTAGAGAATAGGCCGTTTTCGGTTCGCGAGAGGGCGTCGCGGCCGTCATTTTTGCGGGTCCAGGTCCGTCGGTTTCCGTCACAGGCCGTTTTCCATAAAGGGTGGTTTACTCAAGGGAGGTTTGTCCACCGCCAACTAAGGTCTTGTCGACTTTTCGTCGATCGACTTGTGGGGATCGAGTCAGACAAGTCCAGGTAAGTTTGGGTAGATCGAGATAGATCCAGGTGCATCCAGGTACATCGAGATAGATCCGGGCAGATCCAGGTACATCCTCCAGAGATCTCCAGGGAAACGTGCAGCAGTTCGCGGCCGCTCCAGCGCGAGTCGAAGGACGGCAGAAGTCGTTAAGCCTTTAACGAAAGTCATAAGGGCCGTGTCTGTCCTCGCAATTCCGTCTTCAGAGTGTTCTAGCCTGCGCTAGCGTCTGGTAGTCGACGAGAAAGCGCCGATCTCGCGTCGAGGAGCGTCGATTTGGCGTCGACTATAGCGTCGAGCAGCGTCGGTCAGCGCCGATTCGCACGAGCCAAGAAGATGTCACGGGAGGCTCCCATGAGGTGCCATCGAAGGGAGGGCGGGAGAGGGGGCGAGCAGGGCGACGAGGATCAGGAGGGGAGTTGATAGCCAGGCTCCTCCTCCTCGTCCTCCTTTCCCTTTTCCTCTCTCCTCCTCCTCCTCCTCCTGCCCTTCTCTCGTCGCCACGTCTGGACTCGTCTCGAAGTTTTGGTCACGGCGCGCCTCGGGAGAGTTCCCTGGAGCAGCGGTGTCGCTGTTGTTTTGATTCCCCCGTGGGAGGATGCGATGGCGGAGGAGGAGGAGGAAGCGCCGGGCGGCAGGATGACGACGGTTCGGTGGAGGAGGGGGGGGGACATGGCCGATTTTGATCCGATCGATCTGATTCGATGCCGATCTCGGCTGGCTCGATCTGATTCGAGCTCGATATCCCGTCGACTTGATGCGGGCCGACGTTTGTATGGTGCTGGTGTGCATCCTTGCGCGGCCAGTTCGAGTTGATTCCGACTCCGTGCCGATGCGGCCGGGTTCGATGCACGTTTCGAGGCGATCCGGTTTCCCGATTCGATGCTCACTGATGCCAGGGTGGGAGAGGTGCGAGCAGGCGGGCGAGGATCAGGTGGGGAACAATCACGCCGATACCGCTGCCCTTCCCTCGTCGCCACGACTGCATGCGCCCCGAGTTCTGGTCCGAGCGCGCCTCGACTTGTCCATAGCCACTGCCCAGGGAATCGATCTTCGGCGATCTCGGTAGGCAGTAGCATGTGGACATGCTCTGGCTCTGGGGGGCCAAGTGTATCCATATGCGCCGCCAGCCGAGGTCACCGAGGATCGATCCCCTGGCGGTGGTTGTGTGTGAACCCCCGCCTCGCACGGGGGGGAGGAGAGTGGAATGGGGGCGAGCAGGATGATGAGGGCATAGGACGAGGACCAGAGGAGGAACAGATAGTGATGCCGCCGCCCTTCATGCGTCGCCACGGCTGGATTCGCCCTGCGATTCTGCTTAGGAGGGCGCCACGGGAGACATCCGGGGAGCAGTAGTATCTGTACCTGTCGCCCCCCAGAGGAGGATGAGGAGGAGGGGAGGACAGCACACGACAGAGGACAAATGCGAGGCTGACGCGGAGGAGGAGGAGGAGCAATGAGCAATGAGCAAGATCTCTGCGCAATTCGACTTAGCGGTATGCGGGTTCACTGTGTAAAAGACGTGGGGGACCCCGGCTGGCGGGACCAGCACCGCCCCCGAGCGGTGGCGAACCCCCATGGCGCCACGCGGCACACTGGGGAGAAGTACCGAGGGGACCGACTCGTGGCTGGGTTCTCGGCCTTTGCTACTGCCGAGGAGGAGGAGGAGGAGGAGGAGGAGGAGGAGGAGGAGGAGAACGCAACAGCCCCCCGCCGCTGATGTCTACTTGACGTCCATGAGAAGGAGGAGGAGGAGGAGGAGGACCAGTGTAAACCGACGGCTCATCAACGATCTTGGAGTACACCCTCCCTCTACATTGCCTCTTCACAAGCCCCTACAGAGATGCATTGTCGCTGAGGGAATGGCCTCGCGGGGGGCAAGCGTCTGAAGACCTTGAAGCGTGCCAAACATTGTTCTCGGGACTCCAGCGCAGCGAATCAACATGACTATGGCGTCTTGATGATCCGGTGTCGTGCCAGTGTCTCAGTTTTGGGAGCTCAACACCGCGAACCATCGTAGATGTTGCGCCCCTACAGTCCTGCGTCCTTCCAAATCACCACTTCTGGTGCGCTGGCCACGGGAAGCCGCGAGGGTCCTGCAAGTGTTCATAGGACGAGCGTGCGCGGCGCCCTGGCGAGGGTCACATTTTGGGCAACGAGCCGATGCCAACACGTGGGGCTCTTGCTCGTTCTAAGCGACTCTGCGTGGCGCTGAGGCGAGAGCCACGTTTTCGAAACGACCCGCCCCCAATCTGTGAAATTCTCTGCAAGGTGTTTAAAGCGGATGCTCGGGACGCCCCCAAACCGTGAAACTCTTGCAGATGTTTAAACGAATGTGCTCGCCGCCAAGGCGAGAGCAGCATTTTGAACACAAGCCGCCCTACATTTGCGAAACAGTTGAGAATATTTTGACAGAATGTGCGCGTCGCTGAGGCGAGAGCCGCATTTTGAAAACCACCCGCCCTCCATTTGTGAAAGTGCTGCCACTGTTTAAGCTTCAGGGTCACAGGGTAGGGATGTCTCAGGCGAGACGCCCGGCCCGCCCTTTCGACTGGCCCCAACAGGGAGGAGTTGCATAAAAGGAAAAGGAACGAAGGAGGAGGAGAACGCAACAGCCCCGCTGCTGATGTTCGACTTACGTCAGAAAGCGGAGGGGAAGGAGGAGGAGGGGGAGGGAGAAGGGTTGGTTGTTTCCTGAGTCACCAGTGCACGCATCCGAAAGGCGTAAGACTTTGAGGAAGAGGAAGAGTAGGAGGCAAGTGGAGATGGAGTAATGAGAAAGGCAAGGGAGGATGATAATGGCGAAGACCGAGTGGCTTCAGCCTTAGTGTACAGATACCAGTATTGCAGAGGGCTACTTTTTGATAAAAGCCCTCATGTGCAATACTTGCATGTTTTACAGCCGTTTCTTGCAATGTATTATGTGTTATGTGGTGCAGCTCGTGTACGGTAAAGGCGTCAGATGAGAAGTACTATGCCTGGTGAATCTCGCTTGTTAAACTAGTAAGAAGGCCATCCACTTGCTCTCTGGCGTGACACTCTGAAGGAGCGGCGCTCCAGGCTTCTTGTGATGGCCAGACGTGTAGTGTTTTCGCTTTCGCTATCCAATTCGGCAGTGGTGACGCTCATCGCCACGCTTTTGGTCCCCAGCGTTCTGCGACACGGGATATAGCTGCAGGACCACGAGCTCTATTTGTCGACACTTTTTGCCTCGACATGCTCAGCAGATCGGGCCTTCACGGAGCGGCGTGCGCGGTGTCCTGAAAGATGCTTGCCGGGCAATCCCGCGCAGCCGGGCAACACGGCGTGCCTCTCATCACGAGCTTGGCCGCGTGCAGCTGATCGGGTTGCTCTCGCGCTTTTCCCGGCGTTGCCGCGTCGCCCGCGGCGGAGGGAGCGTTCGGGAAGGAGGTGGCGGAACAGTTTCTTGGACGTGTAACGCTCGACGCTCGACGTTGCGCTTGACCTGCGCCGCCTCTTGAAGTCAAGCGGTGGCGAACTGTCTTGGCTCGTCTATAGGCCTACCAAATAATGTTTTAAACACCTTTTTGGGTTAGCACGAAATTTTCCTAGAACATTTCTGGCTGGGGCTGTCTTGGTTATTTTTTGATCACATCGGGCTTATGTTCTAAGAACATTTTTATTGATATTCGAACATTTCTGGGTTCTAAGAGCATGTCGTGGTAGGCCTACAGGACTACCAGGACGGTCGGCCCCTGCTCAAGCATGAAGGTCTGCATGATCTGGAAGCTCTCTGACTGTGCCTCGGCCGCGTCCTCACGTCTTGCCCCGCCTTTGCTCTCGCCGTAATTGGCCACGAGGGTGTCCCGCCGCCAGCCCGACCGCTTGTTGGAACCAGCTTGCCGCAGACCATCTGCGTGTGACGCTCGACGTGGTGGCGGTATTAGTCAAGGCCGTCGTCATAGAAAGAGGGGACATTCGCGTGGAGCATGGACGCCATGGGTGAGGTAGCCGACGCGGTGCGCTCATACGATTCTGAGGCGGCGACAGCGTCCGCCAAGAACATGGAGAAGGGAGCGAAGTCTCTGGATGATCGTCCTGCACCGCGGAAGGATTCACTCACCAGGCAATTTGCTGAGCCCGAGGAGGCCCCCGCAGCAGCGAGGTTTCTGAGGTTCCGCCACCCGTCACAGTCCTGCTGGAGTTCAGCGAGGACAATCAGCCAGTGAACAGCCAGATGGAGAGGCCGAAGGAGAACAGTTGTTCTTTTGTTCTGGTGGTGCCCGTGAAGTCGCGGTACGCGTCTGCCGCGGAGAATGACACGGACACACCGAAGTTGCACCGAGCACGCATCGCGGAAGTATTGCGTTTGTTGCACCGATATTTGGCCACGTGCCAGAAGTTTGCGCACATGCAGTTTGATGCCGGCACGGATGACGTCCGCGCGCTTGCCTCCGCCACCGTGGTTGTGCAACATTTCAGCTGGAAGGAGACTGAGTAAAGGAGCGGAGCAATTCCGACAACTGGTCTGAATTGGTACGAGTCATGAACTCGACATCGTCTTCCTCGGCTCGCTAGAGTGTGTGTGTGTGTGTGTGTGTGTGTGTGCGTGTGTGTGTGTGTGTGTGTGGAGTTGAGGCCCCGTTCCAGATCGCCGAACGGTCTGAACTGAGGCGGGTTATGAATTCGAGAGATACGCGGGAACTTGCGTCAAGGGTTGTAAGCAGATTATTCAATGCCAAAGCGGCCAGATGCGGCTGCGTTCGGGGCTCGCTCCTGCCGCCCTTCCCTCCGAGGGGGTATCTCGTGCTGATCAGAGGTGTAGCATGGTCGAGGTACAAGGCGGGAGCATGTGTTAAATGCGTTGGCGGATGTTTCCCTGCCGCGGCGGCCATCTCGGGTCCTCATGGGGTGAGTCTGCGCGACACGCATAGTGTCATTTAGGGGGCCTCTCCGCACCGAAGGATGGAATTACTAGAAGGCTTCGCAGGAGCAACCAGCAAGAGCCACCCAGAATTAATGTCCAGGCCTTTTATCATGAGGCCTGGACGCTGCTGTTGGGGCCCTCTGGAACCGTCTTGGGCCGTCATGGTGCTACCTTGGGTCCTCTCGTGGCCATCTGGGGTCGTCTTTGGGGGCATATTGGGCCATCCTGGCGGCCTGGATGGGCTTGCTGGGCCGTCATGGAAGCTTTGAGGAGCCCCAAGGGGGCGCCATGGCCGATGCATCGGCGGGTGCGTGGACGATGTGGCGCGATCCTCCAACCCCCTCTTCTCGGACCACACTTGGCATGATGGGCTTGTTTTCCAACACCACTACCACCGTAAGTTGGAGGGGGAGGGGGTCCTCCTCCTCTTCCACCTCCTCGTCCTCCTCCTCCTCCTCGTCCTCCTCCTCCTCCTCGTGCTCCTCCTCGTCCTCCTCGTACTCCTCCTCCTCCTCGTCCTTCTCGTCCTCCACCTCCTTCCCCCCTCCAGCTTCTGGTGGTGGTGGTGGTGGAAAACAGGCCCATCGTGGCAGGCAGGCTCCCGCTCTTGGCCGTGCTCCCCCCCCGCGCTTCTCCCCGGCCCCCCTCTCGGACTCGCGGCCGTCCGCGCCCGAGCCGGCGCCGCAGGCCGCGCTCGCGGAGGCCCGCAGCGCGTACCACCGGGGCGAGCCCGTGGTCTCGGACGAGGAGGAGGGTGCGCCTCTTGCCGGCGGGAGGGGCGGTCGGAGCCCCAGGAGGAGCAGCAGCACGAGCAGCAGGGAGGAGGAGGAGGAGGAGGAGGAGGAGGAGGAGGAGCAGCAGCAGCAGCAGCAGCAGCAGCAGGAGGAGCAGGAAGAGGAGGAGATCTGACGAGGATGTGCACGGAGGGTAATTAAGGAAGGGGGGAGGACGAGGAGGGGGACGGAGGAGGAGCAGCAGCGAGAGAACGATGCGCAGGATGGGCAGGAGGGAGAAGAAGAACGCGCGCCCTTTCTCGGCCGAGCAGGAGGGAGGGGGGGGGAAGAGGAGAATCAGGATTTGGAGGAGGAGGAAGAGGAGGAGGAGGGACTACCTTGCCGACGCCTGCAGGTCTAAGAATATATGCCCTCGCGGGCTTCTCCACTTTTCTGTTTTCTTCGCGTCTCCTGCGCCGCTGGGTCAGCACTGCAGTACGTATATGGCTTGCATGCTTCTACCACGCGCTCTCTAGTTGTTTACAGAGAGGCTGGCAGCAGCTGTTGACGCTTCGCGTATCCCCATCAGTCCATCCAGACACGATCGGAGGCTTTCTTGAGGCCTCTTGGAGGCGATATTGAGCCATGCTCAGCTAGAGTTCAGTCGGGCGTGTCCCTCTACAGGAGGAATATCCAACATATTCAAAAAGTAGTCTGGGAACGATCTTTTGACAATTGTTTGACCATTTTGGCTTTCCTGAGCCATGCTCGGCTACCTTGGACCGTCTTGTGGTTGCCTTGAGGTCTCTTGGAGGTCTGTCGGAGACTGTCTTGAGCGCCGCTCGACCTCCTGGGGCCATTTTGGGGGTAGGAGGAGGAAGAGGAGGAGGAGGATGACGAACTAGAAACGGAGGAGGAAGGGGAAGAAGAGGAGGACGAGGAGGATGGGGAGGAACGCGGCACGAGGAACATGAGGAGGAGGAAGAGGAGGGAGGAGGCAGGAAAGGAGAAGGACAGGAACGGACGATGACAAGGCGGATGAGTCGTCGGGCTTTGGAGGTATGTCATTGTGAGAGGTGCTTGATAAACGACGAAGGCCATCTTAGGAGCTTTCTTGGGGCCTCCGTGCGGCCTCTTGGGGCACTCTTGGAGCCCTCTTGGGGCTCAGATTGGGGGTCTTGGGGCCCTCTTGGGGCGCCTTGGAGGGTTTTGGGAGGCCTCTTGGCCCCCATGACTCGACAAGGGGGGGGGGGGAGGGGGGAATCCATGCCCCCCCTCAGATGCTAAACAATGTCGCCTTGGGGCCCTCTTTGGCCGCTCTTGGAGCGCTTTGGGGGCTCTCTTGGTGCCCTCCTGGGCCCCCGTTGGGGCCCTCTGGGGGCCGTCTTGGGGCCATCTGGAGGCCTCAAGAGTCTGTCGGAAGTGGCACAGCGAGAAGGCACATCACGATGATTTCCTGTGGGTATTGGGGCCGTTTTGGCCTCTGGGGGGAGTCCTTGGAGGCCGCGGAGGGCAGATGAATCCGTTTTGGAGCCGTCTTGAAGCTTCCTAGATGTTTGTCCGCGGTTATCTGAAGCCATCTTGGGGTATGAGGCCCTCGTGGAGCCATCTTGGGCAATCTAAACCTTCGCGAGGTTCCCCGTCCAGGCCCAGGGGGGGGGGGGGTAGGGAGAGGGGTCAAGCTGCCCACCCGCCCGCAAGCCGTCGAGCTCACTCACACCCGCCCCCCCCGACACAACAGTAACACCCGAGCCTGAGCATGTTCGGCGGTCGTTTTTTGATGGACAGCTACTGGGAGCCAAAGCCGACCCCAGGTGCGCGACGCTTGGGCGAGGTGCGCCACGCGTGCCAAGGGCGCCGCGCGCGCCAGGCACCCCTGGGGCCCGGGCGTGCCAGGTGCGCCTCGTGCGCCAGATGGACCACGTGCTCCGCGTGCGCCAGGTGTGCCGCATACTCCAGCCGCGCCAGGTGTGCCACGTTCGGGGCACGTGTAGAGTGTGTCAGGTGGGCCTGCGCACGTGAAAGCACATCGGGTAACATGTCGACCCTCATCATCCACGTCGAAGACCAGTGCCCATCATTGTGCCTGGTGGGCTTGCGCACAGCAGGCCATACGCGACCACTAGAATGTGATCGTGGGGCGGTCGCGCACGATCTACATTCAGCCGCGAGGTGCATTGTGTATTGTTTTCTGTTGTTGTCGGGGAAGGTCGCCCTGCGCGCAGCAGGCAATATGCTGACACGCCCGCCGCCCCTGTCAAAAAATATCCTGGCGAAGGGTCCAACCATAAGCAGTTTTGGACACCGCTTTCTGGGTCCATCTTTCGACGGGACCACGAACCGTGGACGCACTGGATACAATGGAGCTCCCCATGGGGCCGCGAAGCGGTGCCCGAATGGACGTGCGGTGGGCGGGTAAGGCGCATGCGGACGCGGCCACTAGCCTTCGGTGGAGCTCCCTATGTGGCCGCGAACCGTGTGACGGGGTGTGCCAGAGAGGACGTGCGGTGAGCGGGGAAGGCGCGTGCGGACGCGGCCATTGGGGTCTTCATCGGAGCTACCTATGGGGCCACGAACCGTGTGAAGGGTGTGCCGGAATGGACATGCGGTGGGCCGGGAGCCGCATGTGGACCCTGTCATTGGGGCATTATGTGGAGCTCCGTATGGGGCCACGAACCGTGTGAGGGGTGTGCCGACACGAGAATGCGGTGGGCGGTGAGGCGCATGCGGACGCGGCCACCGGGGCCTTCAGTGGAGCTCCCTATGGGGCCACGAAACGTGTGAGTGGTGTGCGGGAAAGGACAAGCGGTGGGCGGGGGTGGCATGCGGTTGCGGCCACTGGGGCCTTCGATTGAGCTCCCTACGGGGCCACGAACCGTGTGAGGGGTGTGCCAGAATGGACATGCGACGGGCGGGGAGGACGCATGCGGACGCGGCCACTGGGGCTTACGGTGTTCCCTATGGGGCCACGAAACGTGTGAGGGGTGTGCCGAAATGGGCATGCGTTGGGCGGGGAGGACGCATGCGGACGCGGCCACTGGGTGCTTTGGTTGTGCTCCCTATGTGGCCACGAGCCGTGTGAGGGGTGTGCCGACATGCGGTGGGCGGGGAGGGCGCATGCGGACGCGGCCATTGGGGCCTTCGGTGGAGCTTCCAATGGGGCCACGAACCGTGTGAGGGGTGTGCCAGAATGGACATGCGGTGGGCGGGGAGGACGCATGCGGTCGCGGCCTCTGGGGACTCCGATGGAGCTCCCTGTGGGGCCACGAACGTGTGAGGGGTGTGCCACAATGAACATGTGGTGGGCGGGGAGGGCGCGTGCGGACGCGGTCACTGGGTGCTTCGGTGGTGCTCCCTATGTGGCCACGAGCCGTGTGAGGGGTGTGCCGACATGCGGTGGGCGGGGAGGGCGCATGCGGACGCGGCCACCACGAAACGTGTGAGGGGTGTGCCGGAATGGACATGCGGTGGGCGGGGAGGGCGCATGCGGACGCGGCCATTGCTGCCTTCGGTGAAGCTCTCTACGGGGCCACGAACCGTATGAGGGGTGTCCCAGTATGGACATGCGGTGGGCGAGGAGGGCGTATGCCGGCGCGGACTCTGGAGCCTTCGGTGGAGTTCCCTGTGGGGCCACGAAACGTGTGAGGGGTGTGCCGATCTGGACATGCGGTGGGCGGGGAGGACGGATGCGGACGCGGCCACTGGGGCCTGCAGTGGAGCTCCCTGCACGAACCTTGTGAGGGGTGTTGCGAAGAAGACATGCGGAGGGCGGAGGCAAGGAAGGTGAGGAGCGGATGGAGGAGGGGGAGGAGGACGGAAGGAGGAACGCGGTGCGTTGTCTCTTCGAAACTATGGCCCAACACCGCAGGTTGGCTGGAAACAATACAAAGTGCTCGTGGGCCTCACGAGCTCGACTCTGGACTTTGCCCCAACGTGTACTTTGTATCTGATTCGTCGACAGGGATGGTTTGGGGGGTGCACTGGGTTGGCCGCGCATGCTCCAAATGTGGAGGCACAGTGTGTTTCGATTTCTTCCCAGCCATTATGTGTTGGGTCTTCGTTTTGAAGAGACAGCCCCCCGCGTTCCGCCTCCTTCCTTCCTCCTCGCCCGCCTCCTCCTCGTCCTCCTCCCCCTCCTCCCTCCTTCCCCTCCTTGCCTCTGCCATCCGCATATCCATTCTGGCACACCCCTCATACGGTTCGTGGCCGCCCACCGCTCTGGCCCACAACCCTCACACGGTTCGTGGCCCCATGAGGAGCTCCACCGAAGGCCCCAGGAGCCGTGTCCGCATGCGTCCTCCCCGCCCACCGCATGTCCATTTCGGCACACCCCTCACACGGTGCGTGGCCACATCGGGAGCACCACCGAAGCACCCAGTGGCCGCGTCCGCATGCGCCCTCCCCGCCCACCACATGTCATTGTGGCACACCCCTCACACGGTTCGTGGCCCCACAGGAAGTCCCACCGAAGGCCTCATTGGCCGCGTCCGCATGCGTCGCCCCTAGCCCACCGCATGCCCATTTCGGCACACCCCTCACACGTTTCGTGGTCCCATAGGGGGGCACCACCGTTAGGCCCAGTGGCCGCGTCCGCATGCGTCCTCCCCGCCCATCGCATGTCCATACTGGCACACCCCTCAAACGGTTCGTGGCCCAAGTTTAATCAAGATGTGTGCAAGCAAGGAACAAACATTGGAGAATGGGATGTTCCAGCAAACAATCCTTTGTAGTACTAGTTGTAGTGGTGTAGCGTTGCCAAGCCAATGCTAGTACGCATGCGATCTCACTGGGCAGGTATGTTTCCTGTTTCTTGCAGAGGCACGTCGTTGTTGAGCACCCGGGTGTCGACCAAAGGAGCGTTCGTGGCGGACGAAGCTCTGGTCAAACGGAAACAACATTGGTTCAAAGTTGGGGGCACATTGGCTCAAAGCTTGCCACCGACCCGACTCTAATATCTTCTTCACTAGGTTGCAGACGATTTGGCCGACTCGATCCCGAGAGTCACTTCTGGATCACCCGGGTGAGCCGCTTCCTTGAGCACCATTTGAGTATCATCTGCGCGCACATTCTTGAGCTCCGCGCGGATACAATTTTGGAGCTCCGCGCGGATATCTTGCATCGGCGCTGGGCCCTCCTGGCGGCGCTTCTGGAGCCGCCCCTGCAGCGCTCCGCGCGCCAGGGAGGGGGGGTCCAGGGTCGATTCAACAAACCCGCATGGACCTCCAATCAATTATGTTGGAGCAGTCCTTTGCTCCTCTTCGCTTTCTCTTTTGTTTGTTTTTGTTTGTTTTGATCGCTCTCTCTCTCTCTCTTGCTTTCTCTGTCTCTCTCTCTTTCTCTCTCTCTCTCTCTCTATATATATATATATATATATATATAACAGCTCCACGGCGAGGAAGTTTGCTTGACGCAGTGTTGCGAGCCGCCTATGTTCCCGCAGGAGGAGGATCAAGATCGAAGATCGACGGTCTCGGCTATGTTTGCCCCCCGCCGCCCCTTTCAGCCGCTCCTGGAGGCTTCCTGGGCCGTCCAGGCGTCTCTTGAGGTTCCCTCCCCTCAGTTTCCAGCCAGCGTTCGGAGAAGGAGAAGCCGAGCCCGCCCGCTATGCGCCACTTTCGACACCCGGGCCGTCAAAAGACGGCCCGGGATCAGGAGTTGGGTGTTGCTGGAGGTGCCCCTGGGCCAAGGTGCCCCCAGGATTTCCGCGGAGGCCCCCACGGCCTCCGCAGTACCCCTCTCGAGGCCCATGCAGCCCCAGGAGCTCCAAAGTTGAACGAAAAGCTGGGGGCAACTTGGGAGGAGGAGGAGGAGGAGGAGGAGGAGGAGGAGGAGGAGGAGGAGGAGGAGGGCCAGGGACACCTTCAGCAGCCCCCGAAGGAGCTGGCCCCCGAGGAGCCGGGTCGAGGGCTCGTGGCGCCAGGGCCCGCGGAGTGGAGCAGCAGAGGTCCGCCGGAACGTTCGGGTATGCAGCGCCCGTCCCGTCTGCAATCGGGCGTGTCCTTCTGCGGGAGGAGTCTTCCAAATGGGGCACACCATGGCCTGGGGACAATATTTTCAAGACATTTGGTTGTTTGACTATTTGGGAGTACTTTTTTGTGCGTATTTGTTTCATTCGTCGCCCAAAATCCGCCTGCAGGGGGACGCGCCCGACCTAATTCAGGAGGGCAAAAACACACAGAACCAAGTAATCGTCGATTCCCCCGAAAATATACGAAAATATGGAATCGGGGGGAAGACAAAAACCCAGAAACTATTGGAAAATACAGGGAATCCTGTTCCTTGTGTGTGTTTATTTGTGTGTCCCAGGGCCCCTCCACATTCGCCTGCAGGGGGGCGCGCCCGACCTGACCCTCGTCCCTCCCGCACCTGGACGTACTCCATCGAACCGTTGGTCTGCGACCCCCTCGGGAGCGCGCTGCGCCCGCCGGCCAGTACGACAAGCTCCGGGAGGCCGTGCGGGTGTCGGCTCGGCGCAAGGCTCGCGCGGTTTTCGGCAGCCTTGCCGGTTGCTGCGAGCGCCGCGCTGCAGATCTTGTCCTGCCACTAAGAGAAGGAAAAGGTACCCATACCTCTACCCCTTCGTCCGTTTTCACCTTTTTGGGCCTCCTCGGAGGCCCTCGCTGCCACCGCTGGATTCGCCTGGAAATTCTGGTCAGAACGCACCCCCGGAGAGGTCCGGGGAGTAGCGGTATCGGCACTGTTTGGTTTCCCCAGCAGATTGCCGTGCCACACTGGCCGCCACCGCGAGCGGCACGATTCAGATTGGCGTCTCATCCAGCAGCGCAGCCCCCAGTGCTTGCTTGGCTTGCCGATGGTCATCTCCAGTGCCCTTCCTCCTCCCCAGATCACACGGTGAGGATGACGCAACGGGGAGGTGAGGGAGGGATTCAGGAAGATCCCCCAGCCAGGTTTTTCTCGCTGGGGTTGGGAGCACGTGCTTCTCACCCGTGCGAGAACGCTAGGATGTGGTTCGGCACCGGATTCACACCACAGGATTTCACAGAGATGCCCTCAGGAGAAGCGGCAGTTTGGGGCCCCAACGCCAAGGCACGCCGCGAGTCACAATGATGGGTGGACGCGAAGAAATTGGTGTAGTTCGTTTGGCGAAGATTGAAGGTCCCCCCCCAAGCCAAAAAAGCAAAGGTACGGCCGCTTTTCGGCGCTGAGCCTTTGAGTTTGACCGCTCTGCAGGGAAACGCGCCTCACCTTACAATGGTTGGATCAAGTGGACATTTGGCTCACATCGACTTGCAGTTGCCATTTGAGCACGAGGTCATTGCCATGAAGCGGCCAGCCGCAGGTGCCTCTTCAAAACTGGTTGCCGATGGCGGTGGGCCTCCACGCAAGCGAGCCCGCGCAAGCAAGCCCGCAGTCTTTGTTGTCGCCGAGAGAAGCTTGATTGTTGTGCCGGGTAGTCACAAGAGTAACACATACGATGAGTTAATGAAGCGGACCAATCAGGGCACGGAGGCGCAAAGTTCGCAGGAGAAAGTTGGTAAGACCCATTTTTGCTTGCTGGGTCGCGACGAAGCCGTGGAACGCCAGGCTCGCCAGTTGATTTTACGACCTCCGTCAGCGCAGCCATTGCCTTACCATTCTGTGCTGATGTTGTGGAATTCTCGCTTGTTGCATCAAGGAGGGATGTCCTTGTCTACGGGACAGACGACAGCCACAGCTACTTCCAAGGCAAAGCCATTCCTGCCTGAACGCATGCGGCCACAGATGTTTGAGATGGATGATATCTGACTGTCTGCGGCAAACCCTGCTACCGTGCCAGCGCAGCAGCCCCAGAGAGGAGGATATGTTTAGGACCAGCTCAAGTTCAGCAGA